TACTTTATCAGTAACTTTAGTAAACTATCAATTATGTCATTGTGACATTCATAAGAAGTTACGCTCTACCGAATTTAAATATTGGCGCAATATTGCGTTTCTGATGATATCCGAAATTATGTCTCACTTAGTAAGGTTTATAAAGAAAATAGTTTAGATATGTGTTGGAAAATTTACTGCACCATTTTCTAGGCTTGGGGAAAGTTTAGTAATCTCTTTTTACTTCTCTACATACATTATCACTTACGCAATCGGCTAGCGCACAGTTTATTTTGTTCTGAGACAAAAATCATTGTTTAGAAATAAATGCTTTTAGCTGAGATTACAGATACGAATATTACAATGCGTTTAGATAGAAAATAGACGTTTGGAACAAGAATCATTTACAAGAAGTAATTGATTTGTTATGTGAAGGCCTCAAAATAATATAAAGGAAAAACAGGAAAAATAAACCATCGTGAATAGACCGAGTCAAACAAGGAAAATTTATCTATTGGGTGGGTGGGTTTTACAAAGAATTCAGCGTTACAAACTTGCTGGACAGCAGACTTTTACTGGGAAGAGCCACAATAAGCAACAGGCGTATTTAAATGACACATTGCAGTAATAAATAAATAATAAATAAATAAATAATAAATAAAAATAAATAAATAATAATAATAAATAAATAAATAATAATAATAAATAATAAATAAATAATAAATAATAAAAATAAAAATAATAATAAATAAATAATAAATAATAATAATAAATAATTAAGAAATAATAAATAATAAATAAATAAATAATAAATAATAATAATAAATAATAAATAAATGATAATAATAAATAAATCATAAATAAATAATAAATAAATAATAATAATAAATAAATAATAAGAAATAATAAATAAATAAATAATAATAATAAATAAATAAATAATAAATAATAATAAATAAATAATATATAATAATAATAAATAATAAAGAAATAATAAAGAATAAATAAATAAATAATAAATAATAATAATAAATAAAAATAAAATGATAATAATAAATAAATAATAAATAAATAATAAATAAATAATAAGTAATAAATAATAAATAAATAAAAATAATAATAATAAATAATCAAGAAATAATAAAGAATAAATAAATAAATAATAAATAAATAAATAATAAATAAAAATAATTGATAATAATAAATAAATAATAAATAAATAATAATAATAAATAAAATAAAAATAATAAATAAATAAATAATAAATAATAATAAATAAATAATAAATAAATAATAAATAAATAAATAAATAAAAAGAAATAATAAAGAATAAATAAAGAAATAATAAATAATAATAATAATAAATAATAATAATAAATAATAAATAATAAAAATAATAATAATAAATAAATAAATAAATAATAAGTAATAAATAATAAATAAATAATAAATAATAATAATAAATAACAAATAAATAATTAATAAATAAATAATAAATATTATTAATAAATAATAATAATAATAAATAATAAACAAATAATAATAATAAATAAATAAATAATAATAATAAATACCTTTTTCTATACAAGGAAGTGAAACGGAGATTTTGCTGCATGACAACACCTCTACACACAAATTCTAAATGTGATGCAGAAGATGGGTGGGAGAAGAAATTCTTCCACATGTGACATTTCTCTTGACATGTCACTTTTAAATGACACATGTTTAGCTCCATGCGACATGATTCGCCTGGTATGGGATTTAAAAAATCGGACGATATTAAATATTTCCATATGAAATTAACGAATCATACGAATCAAAATTAGAATCTTTCATTTATGATAAAATATACAAGTAACGTGAAAAATAGTATCAATCAGAAAGAGCGAGTGAAAATAATTTGATAATTGAGAAATAATACATCAAATATATGTAAATTAAAAGATTCTGATAAACATATTAGAATTTGTTGCATTAAGCACTGATTATATTAAAAAAAAAAGATAATTTATAAATAGACATGAATAGACCTTAATTAAAAAGTTGTGAAAGCTGAAATTACAAAAGACTAGTGAGTACCATTTAAAATGAACTTTATTTTACGCGCATGCGTAGGTGGCGTCTTAGAAAAGATGGCTGCCAACCATAAAATAGTTAAGAACGACGTAGGAAAAGATTTTTGCATACCCAAGGTAAAAATCTAGTTTGGAGTCTCAAATCAATTGACTGAAGAACGCAAATTCCAGCGCATGAACATTTTTCTTCTTTAGTGGCTGCATCAGAAAGTTGATGCGTTTTTTCTAGGAAATTTAATCATCAGTTATGAGAATTAAGTTGCCACGGAGACAGATGCTGATTCTATGACCCGGAAATATTCATCGTCATCTTGAACTCCCAAAAATTAAGACTTCATTAGTTATCGAAGAAACTATTAGCAACAGATGCCAAAAAAGAAGCTGATATTGACTCGATATCACACACCCAACCTATTAATGTAGCCAGATTATATAATAGACATAACCGACTTATGAAAGTTGTTCATTGAAAGAGACCATGACTTTTGCTTAACAGTGTCATCCTGGTGTCCAATAAAGCCACCGTGTACGCGTTCAAGCTTACAAATAGGTGACTCCAGAGATATGGTTGGGAAGTTTTACTGTATTCACTACATAATGTTGACTTATCAATCAGTGCCTACAAGCAGCAAATATGACGCTGTTGTTGTAGAGGTGCAGTGGTGATTATCATCGCTTGATGACATGTTTTTTTCATGGATGTTAGTCACACTATATATATAATATAACACTATCACTAGCGGTGACGTAAGAAAATAGACTATTACTGTTGGTAACATATGTACAATTTTTCAATTTTTATCACAATAAGCATATTGTGTTAGAAGATTTTATGTTTTAAAATGTTTCAATTTTATGTTTTACAAAGTCTTTTTATATTTTACAATGGTTTTTATGTTTAACAATGATTTTATGCTTTGGAATGTTTCAATTTTATCACAATAAGCATATTGTGTTAGAAGATTGTATCTTTTAAAATGTTTCAATTTTCTGTTTTACGATGATTTTTTATGTTTTACAATGATTTTATGTTTTAGAATGTTTCAATTTTTATCATAATAAGCATATTGTGTTAGAAGATTTTATGTTTTACGATGTTTCAATTTTCAATGTTTTTTATGTTTTGATTTTATGAGAATGTTTTAATTTTTATCATAGTAAGCATATTGTGTTAGAAGATTTCATGTTTTATGTTTTTGACGTGCTTCGTATAAAGAGGTTGCTTCATCATCACTTCGTGTCTTTTTGGCCTCGAGAAATTAACAAGATTCTAGTATCAGGTGAGAGCTCCACCCCCAGGCAGTACGTTCTCAATTAAAGGTGTAGCAATGTAAGGTGACAATAAAAGGAATGGTTTCAAGGTCAATCCCGTATGCCTTAGGATATATGAGAGAATAATAAATACAGAATATATTTTGTAAGTCATATAATTTCAAATGTTTCACCTGTGATCCGGGGTTATCAGAAAAAATAATTTTATTTAATAATATAAAAAAAGACGAAACGTGCTTTATATTAAGTGACGGAACGTTTAAAATTTAATTTTATCGGTAAAAAGAGTTAAATTTTAAATAATTGCAACTGGATTTTATTTATTTACTAGCAGTAGAGCCCGGCGTTGCCCGGGGATGTAACAGTAAGAGATAGATCAAGTATCGACCATAATAAAGACTGAAAAATAAAATTGACAAAGATTATTGTTTAAGGTTGACGGACACGCATGTCTTAATTATTATTTTTTTTTTTACGAATTAGTCAAACCCAAACTCAAACAAAAACATTGTTTTCAATCTTTATGAGTCTATCAATTGAATAGAATTTTATTATAAACAATTGTCTTGTAAATGGAATTTTTAAAGCATTCTGAATGTAAAAATAAAGAAAAAAAAGTGTGCAAGACAATAAGAAACACTACCTGCCAAAAAAAAAGTGAAGTTTTGTTGAAATCGGTTGAAAAATGTAGGAAATCCGATCCCATGTATGAATGAACACACACACAAACAACCTGGGTTTTATAATAAATATAACTCGATATGAGTTGTCTCCCTTTCATTCTGGCGACAGAATCGTGTTTTATCGTGTTTTCAAATTGATTTCGTGCAAAAACCATTGTGTTTTTCCAATTTTTGGCGCTGTTAGAACCACCGCAAGGTAATTTTACGCAGTCCTGTGAAGTTTTGTTGAAATCGGTTGAAAAATGTAGGAAATCCGATTCAATATATAAACGTACAGACACACACACAATCTGCGTTTTATAATAAGTAAGATTAACGTCTGTGTATCTGATGTAGACAATTCTTTCTGTAATAATTTAGTAAGAATAGATCATAAAATGAAATACTTAGGTTATATATTAATCCTCATAGGGGATTCATACATCAAGGCACTTTCAAATCATCTTCTGAGTAAATTCTATTATTTGAAAAAAAATTAAAACGCCATTTGCCAGGTCATTATTGTGATCACGAAGTTTTCGGCGGAATACAAGTGCATTGACTATGTTGTTTAATTTAAAGTCCTTTTCCCTCTCATATATTCTTTTCTCTGTTCGATCGAATTAAAAAGATGAAGGAATGACTAAACACATGTTTTTTTCCCCTTCAACTCAGTACTAATTACTTTTCAGCAGCACCTGCAAGATATGCACGTGCATTTATGCAAACAAGTGTGTATTAAGATTGATCTCGGGCCGAACAAAAAATTTGCAACCCTCATCCTAGTATATATAAACAGAAACACGTACCTACATATACATAGGTGTTTAAAATATCAGCGTCACTCCTCCATCGTGCCCATATGTAGTTATATCGACGCAAATATCACTTCCGTATGATAAACGCCTCAAGGATAAAACTCGTCACACGAAAGATTTTCACCACTTTGACCTTGATTTTCCTAACATAGTTAAACTATATAAACATTTAGATATCTTTTCCCCATACACATATGTATGCATATATCGAGGCACAAGAATCTATCTATCTATCTATCTATCTATCTATCTATCTATCTGTGTCAATCATGGCTATTAAAAATGTCCTATCCCTTCTTCCTTTAAGCAACATTTCACCAGGGTGTGATGGTGGTAAATGTTGGTTAAAGGAATAAGTGATAGGATATTTTGAAGAGCCATGATTGAGAAAGTTTTGAAGGCACATAGGAATCTATCTATCTATCTATCTATCTATCTATCTATCTATCTATCTATCTATCTAAAGCAATTCATATCTATCTCATGGAATGAAATGTTACTTAAAGCATGAAGAGACAGGAAATTGTGGAGACTCATGACTGTGTATGTCCTTGAAGGACACCGCACATATATATCTATTTGGACTTTGTTCATATTTTATCTATCTATCTATCTATCTATCTAAAGCACATATCTATCTATGGAATGAAATGTTACTTAAAAGCATGAAGAGACAGGAAATTGTGGAGACTCCTATCTATGTCCTGAAGGACACCGCACATATATATCTATTACTTTGTTCATATCTATCTATCTATCTATCTATCTAAAGCAATTCATATCTATCTCATGGAATGAAATGTTACTTAAAGCATGAAGAGACAGGAAATTGTGGAGACTCATGACTGTGTATGTCCTTGAAGGGACACCGCACATATATATCTATTACACTTTGTTAATATCTATCTATCTATCTATCTATCTAATAAGGAAGGAAAGAAGTTGAGATCGAAGTAATTGTAAACAGATGTAAGAATTTTGCTTAGGAGTCGGACGATTTTAAGTCTCGTTGACTTCAGTAGAAAATATCAAAGCTATTTAAATAAAGAGCTCGAAAAACCAGTAAAATCACTACTTTTAGCGATTGGCAAAGACAGGATGATTTATGGACGAGTTTTGGGGATGCAATTTTGCTCGAGGCTGTTTTTCAATTTTCCGAAAATGTTGGGCTTCAGTTTGAAGATGGCGAAAATTCGATACGCCTCAGGTTAATGGCCCTTTTTAATGGGGTACAAAAGGAACGCCACACTACAACTAAAAGGAAAAGGGAGAATGAGATATAAAGGGAGAGAAAAAAAAAGGAAGGAAGAGGTGCCTTAAGATGAGAAGATGAGAAGGAACAGGTAAATTGACAAAGAGAGAAAGACAAAAAGAAACAACGGAAAAGAAAGATTCAGGAAAAAATATATGCACGAATGAAATAAAAAAGAAAAGAAAAGAACACAGACGATAAGGCAAACTAAAGGAAATTACACACATACATACACACATACATACATACATATATATATAAGGCAAACTAAAAGAAGTTACACACCCACACATACATACATACATACACACATGCATACATATATACATGTATATATAAGGCAAACTAAAAAAAGTTAAACACACACACACACACACATATATATATATATATATGTGTGTGTGTGTGTGTGTGTGTGTGCGCTTACCCTCGTTCGGAGCTACAAGAGAAAAATATAAGAATTTTCAAAGATGAGTCTTTATTTTGGAGAGGAATCAGTTATCTCAAAACTACGCAATTTCTGATTTTCTGTCATTTCACCTAGAAATATTTCACTGCTTTCAACAAAAGACCCTCATTTTTAACAGCACATCCTTTCAGGAAATAGGCGTACACGGCAATCTTGGTGTCTTTCTCCTTATTATATCAGAATTACCATAAGAAGTAGTGTGGTTTCCCGTTACTTTCTTCATTTCTGAAATTCAGATTTTCCCTTCAAGTCTGGCTATAAGCCAGCTTTGGAATCCCAAATTCTATTGTTATTTAATCCATAGTTAGGGACGAAAGAGATCGATTCTTTTTCCAAATGTAACCTGAATCTGACTTTTTCCAAATGTAACCTGAACTGGACTAGCCAATTCCAGTTTCCGAACCGATAAGTTTAATATAAAAATATTGATACGCAGGTCAGGAGGTGCGATGACGTTAAACTGTGCGATAAATTAATATTCTTTATGAAGAGATAGAGCAAAAGAAAGATAACAGAAAGAATGCATCAGGTATTGTTTATTCATCTTTAAAACATTTTTCTCATTTAGGAAATCTAAGGCATGTTTATATAACATTAAGGTAAATAACATACATGAGCAATAAAGATTGCGAAGAATAAGGGATAGAATGAGAAGATACAGGCAAGAGCGAGAGAAAAGCAGAGGCTTTGAAATAATTAATAATCTGAGTTATCAACACTCGTGGAATTTCCACATGTTGAGCTTTCTTAGAAATAAATGCAATTAATTTTTTATATCCAATAATTTATGCCTGTTTATACATGGTGACTATATATATATATATATATATATATATATATATATATATATATATATATATATGCATCTTTCATTAAAAACGTTAAGCATTTTATTTAATTTTTCCTGTGTCCGAACAAGAGCTTTCTTTTCTGGACAATGGGTGTGTAAGAACTGTCCAAATGTTTTATATTTCCGAGCGCTTTCGGCTTTACCTTTAGCCATTATCAAAGATGATTCGATTTTTCAGCTTAATTGAGTGAGTGCGTTCTGTGTATATCTTAGTGTGTGGTAGGGATGTTTTTAATATCCGAATACGGTTAGCACATTGTGGCTTTGTTCGTAGTTAATATTGTTAGGAGTTGGCTTTTTCTTTTTTATTATTAAAGCTTCCATTATTTTTAGTCTTTTTTTACAGGTGGATAATATATTTGTATTTTCTACCATTATGTTTCTAATGGATTTGAATTTTCGTGTGTAATTAAATGGGTTCTAATGGAGCTGTGATCAGATAGGTGTAACGTAAGACGTCTGGATAAGAATGTGGTTGTGTAACCGATGTAATTATATATATATATATATATATATATATATATATATATGAGGGGCAAGACTAATAATAAGACGACAGTTTCATTCCCCTCTTGGTTTCTTCAATTACTCTCGGTCACGTAAAACGTGTCCCTTATATTCAAATCGAAATATGTTCTTTTTTTTTTAAACGTGTTATTGATAACAGATACAACCTTGTGGGGTGCGCAATCGTAACGCTAAGGTTGAATTTTTGAAAATTTAAGTGAGAATGTTTTTTTACTAATATGGCAATTTAAGAATTCTTTTGTTATACAGTGTAACCCGGATGTAAGAGAGTTGTCGGGACCGGAGACGAAGTCTCTTATATCCGGGTTTCTCTTATATCCGGGTTTGGTCTATTTTATATACATTAACACAGGCTCTAATTTGAGACCAGAGAAAATCTCTCTTATATCCGGGTTTCTCTTATATCTGGGTCTCTTATATCCGGGTTACACTGTAATAGTTTATTAGTCAGCCTGGCATGAACTTAAATAGTTCAATAAGTAGAGCAATGTCTTAGTTTGCATTATATTTTTTCGTTTTGAATGCTACCTGAATTTTACCCAAAGGAAAATAGTTTCCATGATAATGACCGGTGAAACTGTCGAAAATACTTGCATATTTAAGGAAGAAGAGAAAAGTGTATTTGACTTCATGTTCAAAGGTAAAAGTCTATTGTAGGTTCAACTCTATTAAATTTGTTGACAGGATCTGGTAGAGTAGTGTTTTATTGATATATTAGTAGGGAGACATCTATGTATCTGAGTTTTGGGATAATCCAAAATAGACAATCTCATCGGTAGACAAATTTTGGCCTATAGACGTTGTTGTCTAAAGTGAACATTGTTTGGTGATTAGTTGGCAATCTTCTGATGTCTTGACCTTGATCCCTGTTCGTCTTTTTAACCTTTTCCCAAACACCCTTCTTTACACTTACCCTCATTCTCTGTAACCCCCTTGTGTGCTGGGAACACTCCCGTCACCAGGCCATGAAGATTGCGTTCCTACAGTAAACAGACTCCTAGCCAGTCAATACCGACCCCAGTGTTCATACGCACTATTACTGTTACTGAGCACTTTTACCCACAAATTACATGAAAAGTATATTTTATCACATTTTTATATAACCTATGATATATATATATATATATATATATATATATATATATATATATATATATATATATGTGTGTGTGTGTGTGTGTGTGTTTGTGTGTGTGTGTTTGTGTGTGTGTGTGTGTGTGACAGACAGACAGACAGAGACAGGGGGTAGGGGTTCAAATGTCTTTCCTGGTTCTTCGCCTGCAATCATTGTATTTTTATTTTCCTTGCTTGAAGGAAAGCAAATTTTTCCTCATAATCTCATGCCAGAAGAAAAAATTAACGAATTAAGTTTCATTTATTAAAATCTGATTTAATTTTCTTCTGTATCGCTGGAAACCATTATTTAACGAGTTTCGTAATTAGACAAAACTAATTAAATTTAACAACAATGTGCCGGCTGAAAATATGTTCTTCAGGGGATGACACCATTTCAGATAATCAAGAGAAATTGTAAACAAAATTAGAATGTAATGATTTCTGTTCTGATTTGATGTTACCGTCATAAGTATTGGGTGATAAGCATTTAATTGTCATTCAGAATTATACAGATGAAAGCTTTAAGGCGTTAATGTTCCTCTTCTAATTAATATCTACTGACAAGTGAAAATATTATTACCAAATGAATAATTGAATGGACAATATTATAATAATTACCTGTTATTTCAATGTTGTCGAAAACAAAATGTTCCCTGCAGGGAGAGTATTTTAAATTACAGCCGTAATGAATTATGTTTTATCTTTGTTTTGTGCCTTGATGAATTATTGAAACCATTTGATGTGATTAGAAATTCGACTCGGGATTAAATCAAGTTGATTGCCTTGAAGACTATTTGAAACAATGGCTGAGAAATAAATAAATAAAAGTGCGAAAAATAGAGACAATCGATGAGTTAGCGAGAATGAAAGAGAGCGTGAAAAAATGTGTAAAAGAAGATAGTAAAAAAAGAGAGGATATTTTGGCGGGAAAAAGATCAACCGGTGTTGATACAAAAGAAAATTGACAACTCATTTAGTCGGGACATCGTGAGATCTTCGAAATTTGTAAATAATAGAGATTATTGTGTCCACACTAATTGCAAAACATGCGTTCCCACACACACATATATATATATATATATATATATATATATATATATATATATATGCGTGTGTGTGTGTGTGTGAGAAAGAGAGCGAGAGAGAGAGTGTGTGTGTGTGTCTATGTGTGTGTTTCATCAAAGACGACAGGCATGTTATGCCGTTAAACTTTTTATTTAATTTTTATTTTTGTGTTCGAACAAGTGTTTTCTTTTCTGGACACAGAGTGTGAAGAAACTGTCCAAATGTCCTGTGTCCTGAAAATAAAACAGTCCTATTACCCTAGAAACATACAAAAATAAAATCATCCTTTATAATAGCTAAATGTATGCCCGAAAGCGATCAGAATTTCAAGCCATTTATAAATTGCTTTTAAATACACAATACATACATATATATATATATATATATATATATATATATAATATAGACAAAAAAAAAACAGATAGAGCAAAAATTCTAGTGTTCGCAGAATTTACTTATATATATATATATATATATATATATATATATATATATATATGTCATTAAGTTATGAAGAACTTGTTAATCCGTATGGATAATCCCAAGGAGGATGAAATCCTGAGAGCTCAATGTAAATCCAGAGCTAATATTTTACCTTTTTTTTAGACATCTAAATTACTATGAAGCATTAAAATGTATTCTTTACATAAATTGCTAAAACCCAGTTACAGCCTCTT